GTATATTGTGTAGTTCCAGAAAATATCCATACCTCCCCCACAGAAGGGGATTGGAATTTCCAAGGGGTTGGAAGGGTCTGAGGTTGAGGGTATATCGTGTAGTTCTAGAAAATATTCATACCTCCCCCACAGAAGGGGATTCGAATTTCCAAGGGGTGGAGATTGTCTGAGAAGGGTATATTATGTAGTTCTAGAAAATATCCATATCTCCCTCAAAGGGGGAGGGGTGGGGTTGAAATTTCCAAGGAGTCAGAGAAGGATCTGAAAAGCATATTTTTTATTCTTCTTTATGTAACTCTCATGATGTCAAAATCTCTCCATAAAACCATAAAATAAAGAGCAAAGAGCATCTTACCAGGTCAAATCACTGAGTCCTGAGTAGTGAATATTTGAAATATAACCAAACGGTATCTTGTGTTGGGTGTCGTATAGAAGAACAGAGTTGAGCGTTGCAACAGCGAACACCATCCGATAAGGAAGCCTAAAAAACACATCAATGAGATGTCAATACTAAGTCCTTCATCTCTCATAATAAATTTAATATTTTTTTTCCAAATTTGCTTGATATGACCACCAAACAATGGTTCCAAGGTGAGGTTGAATTTGATAAAATACAGTAAATGTATTAATTAACACATCCGTCCTTGACTTGAAACCATTCTTTTGTGGTCACTCAAAAAAATTTGAGAAAGGTGCTTTGGGATATCAAAAATACTTTAAAAATGTGGCCATCTTACTTGAAGAGAGAAGATGTTTCTTGCTCTTTCTCATTCTCTTTTTCCATTTCTGAAATGAAGCAAAATAATGAATCAAGGAATGCATTTCCTAACATGAATGCACGTCTATTCTAATTTGTTGCAAAAGTTTCATGTTTTCATTTGAGATTAATATGAGTGTTGAGTGTGATGGTCATCTGTGTGAGAGTAGTCTTCAAAAAAATTCTGTTGGTGACTGATATTGCATTAACTTGAGTGACAATGTTTTGTTAACTGTGCAGAATGCTAACCAGGACACCTTCAAGGAAATTAAGTAATTACAACATAGAGTAACATAAAGAAAGGAATCAAATTACATGTAAGTCAAACTTAAACCAATCAGGAACAAGTAACGAGTAACTGGGAAAAAACTTAGATTTTATCAATATCTATGGAAATGAGAGATAGTGATTGGCTGGGGCCAATACGGTACTGGTTTTGCTCTCTCCTGATTGGCTAATGTTTTTGGACCTTCAATCTTGTTCAAGTGGTCCCGATTAGTCTCCACGGTAATTAAAGTAACAGCATTTCCTTTTACCTTCATCTTTTTTCTTCAATTCAAACAGTAAGGGACAACACCTCACAGCTACTGTAGGTTTCTTGGGGCTTGGTAAATACAGAACAGGCCTAAAATAATGGAGTAAAAACCCTCAATTTTATTAGCTTGAAAAAAAATACCTGCACTGATCTACCAGTATATCAGGGCACAGCTAATTAGTCACAGGTTGAATTAGAATTTGGTGTGCTGGGATTTGCAAAGGGAGAAAGTTGGAGAAAAGCCTTCAAATCTAGGGATAGAGCCAGCAGACATTATGCAAGTGTGATGTTGAGTCCAGGAATTTAAACTCAAGACCCCAGAGGTGAGATTCAAGTGCATGACTGCTATGCCACCCTTGGGATAATGGGGTACTTGTACTGGGTACTTACTTGTTTGGTGATCCTCTTGTGAAGACAAATGTAGCATTCATAGCTTTACTCGGCATATCTATCCTGCCAGCTGATAAGAAAGAAAAGATCAAAGTTTTTAAGAACCCTAAGTTGGCCAGCATAGGTATTTAAAGTTCTAAGTGTTGTCATTCCATTCACCTGGAACAATAAGGAGTGAGCCATCAGGAGTGAAGGTTGGTCGACGGAAAAATGACAACAGTGTTTCATCATGGAACATCTTTAGCTGTTTCAACTGTTGATAAAAAAATGATGGCAAAAGTTAGTTGTCGCTTCAGGTATGTTATTTGACACTTTCACCCTGGGCAGAATGCGCCCATATGCATTTAATAATATTATTTTCTAAAAATGTCAATAAGTTTTTTCCTGTCAACTATGCAATAAATTATTTAGGATGTTATTGTTCATAATGACAATGGTAGTGTTGGTGTTGGTGATGGAGTTACAATGATAATGATGATGATAATGGTGTTGTTGAGGTCCGTTGTTGATGATGATGATGAAATCTAATTAAAGTTTTACGCTACCTCTCCCCCTTCTGGAATTTTAAGCTTTGCAGATCCTGATAATTTATTGATGTTGTAACAGTAACGATATGTTTGTGAACAATAAATTCGACAGCTCCTAAAAAAATACACAAGAAAGTTACTTCAGTACAAGAAAATTATTTCACAGAAAATATCAATAACTCTCCTAAGAGGTGTGGAGGTTGTGAGGAGGAGCTGGGTAAGGGGGACTTAAGGTCTATCCCATCCTATTATCTATAGTAACTAAATTGTTATGTTAATTACCTGTCACTTGAATTCGTAACAATGTACTGTCCAAGTGGATCCCAACAGACACCTTGTACATAATGCTTATGATCCTTGAGTATTTGTAGCTTCACACCTATATGAATGTAAATTACATTTTTCAACACAAAAATCCTACAGTTGAGACCTATTATTTCAAACCCCAGATATCACTAATTTCCCGTCATATTGAACTTGAGACTGTGTCCAGTGGACTTACATCACTACATGGAATATCTTAATTTACAATTATTTAAAAAAATTTCTCGGTACCTTATATTCACGTACTGGAAATCTATTGTATTCTCTTGCATTCTTTTTTAGGTTTGTTCTCTTGTACAACTAGGGTTCTTCTATTTTTTTTTTGTACACGAAGGAGTAGCCCCTTTTCTCTGGCCCCAGATCTGAGATAATGGTACTCCACTGTATTATATTACTAATACCCCATTCACACCAAGGCTTAAACATGTTTTAAAGTGGTTTAACTTAACAGGTTTGGAAAACTATCTATGAACACTGCACAATATTTGGTAAAATAATGCATGAAAGCTATCCTTTGTCTTGCTCTGATAATATTTTAGAAAGTTTCATTATATTGTAGGTTTCTAGTTTCTCAATTTTTTTTCCTAATGAAAACATAGTTTAACTAAACACGTTTAGTTGTGAATGGGGTATAAGTATTTTTATTATTGAAAGCTAAGGGAAATAACAATAATTAGCCTAGGTAATCCTCCTGTCAGCCTTAAAGAATATAACAAGTGAAACATTGTGATTCAGCTGATGAACATTCAGCACAATACAGGAAATGATTTTGAGTAGGACCAATAGACCCCTTACAGCAGGTCAGAATGCAGCTCAATTTGGAGGACATAACAATAGGTTTTCGAATTTTCAGGAGATTGAAATTCTTTTGTTTTATCCTCCAAATTGATCTGCTTTGACGTCACAGGGGTCTATACTCACAAAGTGTAACTCTGGTACTTTGACAAATGTTCTTTTTTTCTATTTTCATTTTCCTTTACGAGTGTGAATTCATACAGTTACTGAGTATTACTATACCTTTGACAACATCCCATACTATAGCACTGTTATCGACAGATCCTGATATAAGCTGAGATCCATCAGGAGACCATGCTAAGTCATACACATCTTCGATGTGACCTCTAAAAGATGAATAAATAACACTTACTGCATTTTCATTAATTCAGAACTGACCGGTCCAAGAGGCCAGTTCTGAAATGGTTATGCGTCAGTCCTTAAAACTGGACTAACATGGCTTGAACCAGTTCTAAAAAATGATGTGTACCATTTCAGAACTGGTCCCTTGTATGATTAGTTTAAAATAATGGAAAGTACCCTTAGTCTTAAGCTGAAAAGATAATGGATTTGTGCTATTCTATCCATTAAAGTGCGTGCAAAAAAGAAATAATAATTAAGGGAATGGTAAACATTTGTACCTGAGTACTTTGTGAGCAGACCAAGATTCTCTATTTTCAACATCGTCATCTTTATCCTTCAGTGGCGGTGCACATTGCTCTTGTGCCAAATTTAGTTTCCATAATATAATAACTCCATCTGGAACATAAAAAACGATGATTGACATGTAAGGGATTGATTGACAGTTGTCAGAATCAAGCAGTAAATTGGCTTACCATCGCTTGCAGATGCTAGGAACTCCTCTGAAAAATAAAATAATAATCATCTTAAGATCTATGACTTATTCTTGGTATGGGAGGCATGGGTGGTGTAGTGGTTTACCACTCGCCTCTCACCACTGTGTTCCGGGTTCGAGCCCTAGCTCAGACTGGATCATATGTGAGTTGAGTTTGTTTGTTGTGTTCTCTCCCTTGCCACGAGGGTCTTCTCTGGGATCTCTGGTTTCCTCCCTCCGTAAAAAGCAACATGTGAGTTGAGTGTTGTATGTTGTAAATATAGAATGTAGTTGTAGTGCGTGTGGAGGGAACCTCACAGAAGTGCCCCGCATGGGGAGTGGTGGTTGTAAAATATAATTTGATTTAATTTAATTCTTAAATGTAATTTAAAAATTTAGGTTACTCTAAAAATATAATTTCATATAATTTCGCGAGGGCACATTCTTCCGTACCACCCCTCCCCCATCCCCGATTTGGGATCTCTATCCAGACTTAGGAAAAAAGCAGTGTAATATTCAACAAGGAATTGTACATTAGCTTTAGAAACGATAAAAAGAAGTAAAGAATTTTTAAATTATTGAAATACATGTACATATATGATCTTTTCGAAAGAGTTTTCTACAAACCATTCGGGGCGAAGCGAACCACATTGACTGCTTTGTTATGTCGAGAAAGATTTGACAAAAACTCAGTTTTTGCGTTTCCATCTGCTTTAAAAGACAACAGCCACATCTAAAACGAAACAAATGATACTCCATAATCTTAAAAATCCAAAAAAGATGTTCTCGTGTGGATAAAAATGAGAAAAAAATCGAGCCAAACATGGCGAAAGCTAACCTTCACGTCGTTGTCAGCACCGGCCGAAGCAAGCCGCATCGTGTTGCCGACTTTACAAAAATCAACGCTCAAAACGGGCTCTTTTCCATGCCAAGATATTTCAGGAGTAGTCAACTTCATATTGTCCCCGTTTTATCTAAATATAAAGCTGTTATGAGAGACAAATTTTCTTAGTTCTTCTTCGACTTCAACCGCGCCAAAATTATAGTTTCGCGCCACTGTGAGGGCTACCATATAAGGTATTGATCTCCCGAGGGTTTCCCGCAAAAATCCCGTACCCTCTAAAAGTGTCTTTTATAAAAATTTATATTAACTTAAAAGAAAATTGTTTTTCTTTCTTTATAAAAAGTAATTTACAAATACATAAGAAGAGACGAAACTATAAATTTATGATTGGAATAAAAATGAAGGTCTTTTTAGATTTAAAGATATAATTCTTGTACATTATATTGAGATAGTAGTGTTTTTTTTTTGTTCTCCTGATGTGTATTAAGGAGAGACAATATGTCATATAAAGGTTAAAACTCATCGTCTAGATAAGTTTGGGGTTAGGTACCATGGTGCGAGCTGTGCGCATCAATCAGACTACGCCCTACCACGGAGGTAACCATGG